GACACTCTGGAGACTCGCTAACAAGAGCCCCAGCCCCGGAAAAGCTCGTCACAGCCAGCGCACGGGGGAGGTTGCAAGTCGGGACACCGCCCAGGCCAGCACAGCGGCCAGGTCCCAAGACCCTCCCAGACCCTCTTCAGAGCTGGCCTGAGTGGAAGCCACGTGCCCCGTGCTCTGAGGGCAGGGCATGGGGCCCTCACCCGGCTAAGGCTGCTCTTCTGTCTTCTCTCTTCCGTCGGGAAGCAGTGGCGAGGAGCAGGTGGCATCTGGGCTCAGGGGAGCATTTCCAGAGCTACAGGATGGGGGCCACCCGCAAGCCACAGTGAGCTGCCCCCCCAGCCGACCCCCGTCACCCCCACACCCAGCAATGAGAAGACATAGCACCCACCGCGTCCACGCACCTGCAGAAAGCGTTGAGGGGAGGGGCGAGACGTGGGTGCCCAGCCTGGTGTTCATGAGTGTTGCTGAGAGAGCAAACTGCTTCTGATCAGCAGACAGTGCCAGACCCCGGTGCTCCGCTCTGTCCCCCATCAGTGTCCACCCAGGTACCAGCTAGCGGGGTGGCGTGACTAACTCTGACGACCTCCCCGGAGCCAGTGATGCCCCCACACAGCCCCGCGGCAGCCCTCCCAGAGGGAAGCCACGACCCCACCTCCAAATCACACTGAGCTGCTTCAGCAACGCTTCCCCGGTTGCAGGCGCTGGTGTCCCCGGTTTACTTCTGAACAGATTCCTTGTGGCCACCATCAGGGACAGAATGCCTACGGCGGCGAGGGACAACCACAGAACTTTGGGAAATCCAGGTATTTTCTGGGCTTTTCCATCATTCACTTCAGTGCAAGCCACAGACAGGCAGGGGCTGCTCAGGATGGCAGAAAACTATGTTTTGACATAACGCATCCCCCCCTCCAAGTGCTGCAGCCTCTCTATCATCCAGTCCACAGCCCGACCAGCAAAGGATGCTGACAACTTCTAAACCGCATTTACAGAAAACAAAAAGGGCAAGTTTTTTGTTTTGTTTTGTTTTGTTTTGTTTTGAGACGGAGTTTCGCTCTTGTTACCCAGGCTGGAGTGCAATGGCACGATCTCGGCTCACCGCAACCTCCGCCTCCTGGGTTCAGGCAATTCTCCTGCCCTAGCCTCCTGAGTCGCTGGGATTACAGGCACGCGCCACCATGCCCAGCTAACTTTTTTTGTATTTTTTAGTAAAGACAGGGTTTCACCATGTTGACCAGGATGGTCTCGATCTCTTGACCTCGTGATCCACCCGCCTCAGCCTCCCACAGTGCTGGGATTACAGGCTTGAGCCACCGCGCCCGGCCCTGTTTTTTTTTTTTTTGACTGAGTTTTACTCTTGTTGCCCAGGCTGGAGTGCAGTGGCACAATCTCGGCTCACTGCAACCTCCTCCTCTGGGTTCAAGCAATTTTCCTGCCTCGGCCTCCCAAGTAGCTGGGATTAGAGGTGCCGGCCACCATACCCGGGTAATTTTTGTATCTTTAGTAGAGATGGGGTTTCATGTTGACCAGGCTGGTCTCAAACTCCTGACGTCAGGTGATCCACCTGCCTCAGCCTCCCAAAGTGCTGGGATTACAGGTGTGAGCCACCACGCCTGGCCCAAAAGGGCAAATTCTTACAAGAGAAGTGGAAAATTTAGAATATTAAAAATGAGGCCAGAGCATAAGAGAAATTAACAGAAGACCCAGCAACCAGCTTCACCTGGAATTAGTCACAGATATACTAAAATTTGAGATGGGGCTGGGCGCAGTGGCTCACATCTGTCATCCCAGCACGTTGGGAGGCCGAGGCGGGTGGATCACCTGAGATCAGGAGTTGGAGATCAGCCTGGCCAACATGGTGAAACCCCATCTCTACTGAAAATATAAAAATTAGCGGGCTGTGGGAGCACACACCTGTAGTCCCAGCTACTTGGGAGGCTGGGGAAGGAAAATTGCTGGAGTCTGGGAGGCGGAGGCTGCCGTGAGCGGAGATCACGCCTCTGCACTCTGGCCTGGGGAAGACAGCAAGACTCTGTCTCTTAAAAAAGCAAACAAACAAAAAACCCAAAAACATACAGCCCCAGGAGTGCCGAGTATGCCCTCACCCCACCTTCAGGGTTTAGGGCACACTCAGAATGCAGAGGACACAGCATTCTCAGTGCAGGGAGGGGCCCTGGGAAGAAGCCAGAACCACGCAAGGCCCCAGCCCCGCGGCCACCCCACCATGTGCTCGGGGCTCACCTCCCGAAAGGGGACCCAGAACAAAGACGCCCAGAGGAGGAAGGGGAAAAACTGCCAGGGTCACCAAGGCCAAGTGGGGTGTGTGTTCCCCAAGGTCAGACGCTGGCACCAGGTCCCGCTGCTTGGCTGCCACAGCGAAATCTATGTCTCCCAGCAAGCTGTGCCCTCTGACCCATCGGCTGCACACGCAGATCCCCAAAGGCTTCCTGGACAGAGCCACACCACGGGAAGCTATCGGGTGCAGACACAGCAGGAAAAGCACAAACACATCCTTTCGCCTCAGTCCAATGGCTTTTTTTTTTTTTGAGACAGGGTCTTGCTCTGTTGCCCAGGCTAGAGGGCAGTGGTGCGATCACGGCTCACTGCAGCTTCAACCTCCCAGGCTCAAGCGACCCTCCCACCTCAGCCTCCTGAGAAGCCGGGACTATGGGTGCACACGTCATCATGCTCAGCTAATTTCTGGTAGGGACGGGGTATCACCACATTGCCCAGGCCCCCAGAGTGATTCTTAATTACCAAGACGAACCAGCCAGACCTGGGGTGCTGCACAGGAGCCGGGTGTGTGGAGGGTCCCTGCCCTGAAGGAGCGTATAGACCATCTGGGAGCACCCAGAGGAAACAGAAAGCGCCCAAGCCCTTAGGTGAAAGGCGATGGAGGGGAGGGACGGGAGGCCTGGGGCTCCCCCTTTGACCACACCCACAGGGGCGCACCCAGCCTGTCCCTCCTGACGCCCACGAAACGTGCCCTGCGGTCCCTCTGGCCGGCCGGCTGTGGGAGGCCCATGTGCCCTGCCTCTGCCTCCTGAAAAGGCCCAGGGGTTAGGTCAAACCCAACCATTTCTGCCGACAAGCACACTTTTGCATTTGAGGAGGGTCGGAGGCCAACATTTTGAAGCATAAATCATGCACACTCTGCCTGCACCATTTTGTTTGAATTCACAACAGCTGCGTGAGTGAGCGCCTGGACCCCGTTTTTCAGACGTGGAACATGAGGCCACAGGACGCCCGTGAAGCCCAGTGCCCACAGCACATGCTGCCTGTCCCAGCTCGGCCCAGGCCTCCCTTCCAAGACCAAAGCCCTCTAACCCCACAGCTGGCCACAGAGCACGCGGAATGAAGAGGCAGTGAACGCTGCCTTCCACGCGTGTCTTCATCAGCCAAGCAGGTCCAGTCGGCACTCGAACCAATGCAAAAACGCGAAAATATTTCAGTGCTCATGAAAACCAACTTGTAAAATTACCGCAGAGCAGCGTAAAGAATCAGATACTCGATATTTAAGGGCGGTGGCGATAAAAATCAGACTCACTTCCCAAACCCCAGCACCAGGGGCAGCCGGCACGTCCCTGATTTCACTCAATACCCGGGAAACCAGGCGCCCACACCGCTCAGCACGCACCCGGGGAACACAGCCCTGGGGCTCCACATCCCGAACCCGGGACCTCACTCACCCTCACACTCTCACGCTCACCCCTCACTCACCCTCACCCCTCACTTCACCCCCTCACTCACCCTCACCCTCACCCTTCACCCCCTCACTTACCCTCACCCCTCACTCACCCTCACCCTTCACCCTCACTCACTCAGTCTCACCCGCATGCTGAGTGCCAGCGCCAGGTTCACCCACGGGCCCAATGTTTGTGCGGGAACAGAAGGCAGCTGGCTGGGGCTGGCTGGGGTGGGCTTTGTTTTTGTTTTTGTTTTTTTAACTCTGAAAGCTAAATGCCTCCTCCGTCTTGCCATGAAGTCAGTAAGTCTGGGGTGAGCCCGAAACGGCAGTGGCAGAACCTTTGGCCATATCTTGGCGGGTGCATCATCACTTGTGTTCAGCTGGGGACATTTATGCTTTAAACACAAATCCGACGCATCTTTTAAAAGTCACAGATCGGCCGGGCGCGGTGGCTTAAGCCTGTAATCCCAGCACTTTGGGAGGCCGAGGCGGGTGGATCACAAGGTCAAGAGATCGAGACCATCCTGGTCAACACGGTGAAACCCCGTCTCTACTAAAAATACAAAAAATTAGCTGGGCATGGTGGCGCGTGCCTGTAATCCCAGCTACTCAGGAGGCTGAGGCAGGAGAATTGCCTGAACCCAGGAGGCGAAACTCCGTCCCAAAAAAAAAAAAAAAAAAAAGTCACACATCACCTGCATTATCCAGCGAAGGTGATGTGAGGTGAGGCCCCCAGTGTGATCGGCAGCCACCTCCCCATCTCCCTTCCACCGCCGCCCCGTCTCCCTTCCACCGCCGCCCCGTCT